AATGGATATAGATAATAAAACTATTATATTTTATTTGAGTGCAAATTTTCAAAAAAATCACATTTTCACATTACTTTTTTCAATACAATTTTGTAGAAAAATGAGAACAAATCGAAGACAGATATGTGTATTCCAAGTATAGCTTAATGAGCATTCATGATATAGAAAGTTATATCTGGATGAGAGCGTTATCGTTAAGATCTTTGTTTTGTTGGTCGTCCTTTTCCCTGACGGACAATTGCCGTCGGAACGACGAGCGAATGCTCCGCTTCGAGCGCCGAATCGACCTAAAATTGAAGCTTTCAAAAGATGAAACCGTACAAGACAGTTTTTCATGCTTTTTCACACAATGCATTGAAAGTGGTAGGAGCGAAGGAAAGATGTTCATGCGAGGGAAGCGGGCACATCAGCAGGAGATTGGCTGAACGAATTCATGACTTGGGGTTCCGGCAACTACACAGGTTAAGGATACCTCTGATTAGATACTGAAATAGAAATACACCGAAGAGATGAACTGCTTAAATCTCAGACTATGAGAACAGTGTAGAGGCAATTCTTACTAGAAATCAGTTGATTTAGTGGGTTGGTTGAAGCAATGCTAGTATGCCGACCTCAGCCGGTTTTGCAGTTCAGGGACAAAAATTCAAACCACAATTTATAAGGGTCTATATCTCATAAAATATAGATGTATGTCCATTTGGCACTGTTTACCCTGTGCTACCTCACTCCTCAAAATCTGAGCTGGATTTCGATCGGAATTGGTCCAAGACTAAGGATTTGACTTAAAAGGGGTCTGCTGGCATTTCTACGAGTAGAACACGAACAGCACATCAGTTCAGAACGAAACTCGCGCTTACACTAAAGGACCGAGAGCAGCAGAGGGTAGGTAGGGTAGTGCCGTCCTTTTCAGTGTGGGCAGATTTCAGACTCCCGTTAGGCATTTCACAAGGTGGGTCCTATTTGGTAAAATGTTCCGGGGACTGTCGCAGGAAAATTGTTCAGAATCTGGTGCAGGTCATCCTCAAGCACAACCCAAACAGGTAGAGTGCAAAAAAGTCAAAATTCAAAACGAAACTTCCACGCCTTTCAGAAATTATGAAAGAAACGTGGATATTTTTAAATTTGGGCGTTCGAGTAGTATAGAGGGTGTAGATATTATATTATGCATGCTTGTTGTTTAATGCAAATCTTTGGGTAAGTGGATTCAACCGAGTTTAGAGTCTACAAAAGGGCACAGGAATAGGGGTATCCGACAGGAAACCCGTCGCGCGGCGAGAAGGCAGAGACGCAGACGGTCTGAGGACGAGTTGCTGCGCGCATTGTGCGATGTGGGACAGGTTACAGTACACTCTATCCAACATGGCATGTTCTATCCATAAATTGCTACAGCCCGCGCGGCAACTTGTCCGCTAATCCATTCTCGCCGCGCGACAGGCCTTTCGTCGGATTACCGAGGAATGGTGACCCGTGGGTAGGAATCTTCGTGAGTTATGATAGCTTTCAATATTGTTTAATCATTGAAACTGCTAATAATAGTCCGAAAATCAGCAGGAAATAGGAGAAGGTCATGCCAAAGCCTCCATGCACAAATTAGCACTATCGCAAGATACGGGGGCAGATGGTGGCAATGAATTTAACACTGCAAAAAACATCTCCTTATTGTCGAAAACGAGACTATGCTTTGGGCAGAAGAGGAGAGAGTTCAGGGTTCGTGAAAAATTTTCATTTTCCCAGAATTCCTGCTCCCTCCTGGGTTTAGTCCTAGAGGATGTCCCGCATCTTGCGATAGCGCCCACAAATCTACCCAACAACTTTCAAACCACCTTTGGCGAACACTGGGCCTCTCATGAAGGCAAAACCTCTCAGGCGAGGCGTCGAATGAGGAGACATCGTGCATCGACCTTGAGTATGTACCTTTTGAACCAAGAATATGCTTTTGCAAACACTTGACTAATGGTACCAATGGTGACCAATGATTAAATGGTGGATATGAAACGGGGAAATGTTCCGCTCCAGCCAACGCTAAAGTTTCTAGACATACATGGAGCCATTTTTAACGCAGGAATTCCCGGCTCTAGGCCAACGTAATGGGAATTGAGCCCGTGGCTAGTTGGAATGTGTCCGTGTTTGTATTTATATCTACGCTTTCTCTAGTGTGTTTCCTAAGATATGCAGGGAGGGGGGGAGGCAAAAAAAAGAGTCACTTTGCTCATGGCGCACACATCGAAACATTTCTTCGTGCAGAGCGCCGCTAGAAATTTTGGGCATAACGTATCCCTTAAATATCCAACCCTAAGCAGGAGCAGACCCTCTTTTATGCCCTCACCCTCTTCAGAATATGACGTCATCTGCCGTCACCGTCGAGCTCAACGAGGCTTACCGTAATCGCTCCGGCCTGAAGCTGCTACATAATTTCTTCAATCGGTTAAGTGGTGAATAGCTTTTAGACAGTAGCTCTGAATGAGCAGGACCAGCGTTTCAGATAAGGTCGTAAATTATTATGGAGCTTTTGGTAGATTGGAATATGCTCATCGATTTCCAGATGGGATTATTCGGTTAGAATTTAGCAAGGTGTAATTAATTCAGTTTGGAAGTGGAGGGCAGTGACTCATTTGCCCCCGCCCCCCTGTAGATATGTATGTGATAGAGTGTTTCAATTATGAATAGTAGATAGCTTTAAGACTTGACAAGAAGGACCTAAAAGAGGCTCTAGAGACGCCTTAGGTGAAGCCCCCATTTTACAGCCAAGGTTGTTTCATACTTTGGTCATTCGGGGAAGAAAGCATGTCCAAAAAAAAGGGGGGGAGGGGGGGAGAGGGGTGGAGAGAATAAGCGACAAGCGGCGCCACAAGGATTGAGGCGAAAGTGACAGTGCAGGACATTGCCTGTCAAAGGGTTAGGATGGATGCGTATAGCCTTGAATGTCAACACTACTAAGCATGAACAATCTGTCGCTGTAATGGCACATACATAGCACTCCCCCCTTGGCTAATGTCACTATGTCATGTCTTCGAGGTACTTAAATGATAAACAAATAAACAAAGAATTCAATAAACAGATTGGCACTGGATCAACATCAACATCAGGATGAGTTTACGTTGATGAATCTATTAGAGCTATTCGCAAAGCTCCTAGATGTCCCGTATTCCCAGCTCTGAAGTGCATAACATGGGCCTTTCTAACGACGCCCTACCGTTTTCACTACTTTCTCGTTCAACATGCCGGTGTCTGAGCTCTCCCATCCGCTGTGCTCTCTAACCTCTTCTCTCTTCTCCGCGCTCACTGTCTCACTGGTTGAGCACAGCTCAGTGAAAAAAGAGGCCACTTCGAGCTAATACTTTCATTTCGTGTGGATGAGGCATAACACTTTGATACTGGGACATGCCTTCAATCATTTTGTGAAAGAGATCAGCTATAGCCTGGTGCGAGAACTAGAGTCACAATTTGGAGCATTATATTTCCAGATCTTCCTTTTTAAGAAACTTTCTGAGAGGAAATTTTTGAAAAATCAATATGTATACTCACTTCCTCGCATAAATAGCCTGTCGCATAATTCCCGTACGATTTGCTTCCAGTTGAGCATCATGGGCACATTGTTCGAAGTATTCTAAACGCTAATCGATTAAAGGACGAATTCACGATGAAAAAGCAACCCATTTCAAATTAACCTAGGGATGGTGAGTGGTACACGAAAGAAGGAAGAACCATGAGAAACGGCCCAGAACCCGAGAAATGGTACCCCTTCCTTGCCCGTTGATTCGAGCATTGATGCGACTCTCATCGCTGTGCCCTCTTCAACACTACGCTCTCTCAGCTATCTAATCACTCGCCACGTATTGAACGAGCGAGTGATCAGATGATCGGTGGGCGGAGATCGCCGGACCCGCCAGCTTTGAGGCATGATAGGTCGCCGAGGTCAAATTTTTCCATGCGAATTGCGCGTCAGTTCGCACCCTCAGGAGGTCCGTGGGTCCCTCAACTAGGTCAGTTTCCCTTTCTTCGGTCTTCGACCTCATTCTAATTTCGTGAAATCTCATTTGAGATTGGGCAACCTGAGTATTCTGTGCATCACAGGTTAGGAATAGGGCCGACAGCTCCAAACAAAAGGGAGCGCCATGATTATGTCACGTATGCAAAACTGGAACACGCCTCCAATCAATGCCAACCTTCGTGGGTGTACCCCTTTCTTTTGTGCTCACTTAAAATAGGTTCAGCCATTGTGTTCCAAAAATTTGGAATCAGGAAAGGTCTTTCTTGAGAGTCTGCTACGCCCACCATATCAAGAACGCTTGAGCCTTCCCCCCACTCCTTTCCAAAAATCACAATCGCCTTTCAAGGTAGACTAATCCTCTCGTTAAACATTGTTCAAAAAATGGCTGGCCCTCACGAGGGATACGTGAAACAAATCTTCCGTCTGAGAAGGAGTGAAGCTCTCCGTTCTAGAGTGGATGCGTTTCACACAAGGATCTTCAGTTCAAAGGCAGTGACTTCTGCTTTGAATTTTGTGAAACGTGGTTGGAAAACTATTCCCTTGATCGTGCAGAAAGAGTGGGGGGAAGGGAATGGAACCGCGCC